CTCTATGATTCATCTTGCGTAACAGTTTAGGAACTCGAAAGATGCTACATTCTACATTAACAGGAGGCAGCTTGTCCATCATTTCTTTTATGGATAGTACGACATTACCACGAGGTTGTTCAACTTGTTCAACTTCATTAATTTCTGCCATATTGTAAGGTGTGTCGTTTGCTTGATGAACTTCAATCCTACGTTTTCAAATTTTCTTGAATATAGTTTAAAATAAACTAAAATAAGGAAGCAAAAATGAATTTAATGGAACGAAAAAATACCTTGTCTGCAAATTGAGGGAAGAATGGAAGAGAGGCGTGGAGTAAGAAGAGAAGGTATTGAAAGTGGAAGAAATAAGAAGGCTAAGGTTGGGATGACCAAGTAAACTACTGATGGTGGCCTCACATAAATGATCACATGGAGGAGTAAAGCGGAAACAAGAACATCATACTCACACCTACGAACATAATGAACAACGGACCAGATTTTACATGGTTTAGAAATAAGAAATTCTTTTATATTCACGGGTGGTAGTCAATTATTATAATCAAAATATTTATAAATATATCTTTCACACTCTTATACTACAAAGTCTCACGTACAAAATTCTTCTCAATTTCCTTTAAAAAAAATACAAAATGACAATGACTTAATATCTCGTAACAATACTAGAAAGACTTTTATATAAGCATAGTAATACTAACTCTCATACATAAATAAAGATGGGGATGAATCAAATGAATTCAATAGATTCATGAATCGAAGTGATGAATGAACCAAAAGTATTCATGAATCCAAAAGATTCCTTAATCAAATTTTCGTAGACAACTGTTAGACAATGAGACGTTGGGTCCTCCATTCCAAATGATTGAGACGTTGGGGTCCTCTATTCCAACCGCCGGACAATATAGACTTTGTTGTTTGTAGAGAGGGTTTATTGTCATGAATGCACTAGTCTTGTTTGCTATTAAGTCAATGCACTAGTCCATTGACTAGTATAAGCAATGACGACAACTATCTATTGATCTAAAAGTTTTTCAATCTTGTAACAGTTGAAGCCCACTGTTAGTAGATATTGTCAGCTTTAGCTCGCTAAGTGTAATAACCCGAAAATAATAAATAAATAAATAAATAAATTAATTAATTAAATAAAAAAAAAAAATAATAATAATAAAATAATAATAATAATAATAATAAAAATAAAAATAAAAATAAAAAGAGAAGAAGACAGCAGCAGCTTGAAGCTGCTGCCATGGAGAAAGGAAGAATGGACAGGTGGTTGAAGGGAAAAGAAAGAAAAGAGAGGATGATTAGAGGAGGTGGAAGCGTATTAGGGCTGGATTAAGCTTTAAAAAGGAAGAAAAACTAAGATTGGTGATTCGTGAAAAACCCAGAAAACAGAGGAGGAAACTTTCTGAGAATTCGAGTTTTGGTTGCTTAAAATTGGACATCAATCGAGGGTAAAGGAAGAGGGGTTGTTGCTGAGGAATCGTTTGAGGAAGGGGATACAGCCACGAGCTGAATCGAACGGTAATTCGAAGGTAACGAAAAACCCATTTCACCGAACCTTTAAATCTCGATATCTTGGTTCGTATTGTATAATAAGTTATGAAATAGGGCTTGTTAGAAACGTAATAAAGAGATCTATAAATTTGTAGAAGGAATCAGGATGAAATTCGAACCGTAGAAGGAGGATATGGCTTCGGGATATAGTAGGTATTAACAGAAAAGATCGAAAAATTTCAGAAAAACGCAAGGAAGAAGAAGAAGCGCGTGCACTACACGCAGGCGCGTGAGGGCCGCGACTGGGCGTGCGACTGGCGTGCTCCTGGCGCGTGGGACAGACACACCGAGGCGCGTGAGGGCGCGTGAGGGCGCGTGAAGCATCAGTTCGGTTCCCGGTTTGTCCCGTTCGATTTGTTTTGACCTGTTCTACCTAGATTGACCTATACTTACCTTGAAAATGGTGAAATATAGGTC